CGTGCCCCGCGAGCGCGCGCCTGGCGCACGGCCCGCCCTCCGCGCGAGTAGTTCTAAGTCGGGCGTGTCCCCCTACAGGGGGATGTTCGACGAAAAATGAAAAATACGCAAAACAAAACTCCAAAATGGCAACAACACAAAAAAGTCCCCTGACAATTTTTCCACTATTTCTGAATACTCCTCGTGTAGAGGGACAACAGGCCCGACTTAAGAGTAGTTTCACGCGTGGGAATGCCCACGCGCCCAGGCTGGGCTTCCCCTCTGCGGGCCGTGGGCACGCGAAAGCACGTGCCCAGCGCGCACGCGTCCTGGTCTTCCCCCCCCCCCCCTCCGCGCGCGCACCTGCACGCGCGACGACTCCGGCGGCCCCAAGTGGGGCCCCTCTCGCCTGCAGCCCCGTCGCGGCCAGAGGCACGCGAAGGTGTGCCGAGCGCACGCGTGCCCAGACTCAAGCTGGAGACCCCCCCGTCCTCGTGCTCGTCCCTGTCCTCCTCCTCCTCCTCCTCCTCCTCCTCCTCCTCTCCTCTCCTCCTCCTCCTCCTCCTCCTCCTCCTCCTCCTCCTCCTCCTCCTCCTCCTCCTCCTCCTCCTCCTCCTCCTCTCCTCCTCCTCCTCCTTTGCTTCCTCCTCCCCCTCCTAGCCCCTTCGATCAGGGTCGGCGGCACCAGCAGTCAGGCCCCTCCAATACGTGCCGAGCGCACGCGTGCCCAGACTCAAGCTGGAGACCCCCCGTCCGCACACGTGTCTCTAGGCGTCCACGTCCGACGCCTGCGGCTCGACACCCCTCTGGTGGAGGGCCTCTGGCCCGCAGACTGAAAGAGAACCCTGGGCCAGAGGCCCTTGCCGGGAAGAGGTGCAAACCTTCCTTTTGAAGTGCTACCTGGAGGCGCCGATCTTCCCGGCGAAGCATTAGCTGGAGGTGGAGGCGTCCTGCTGATGTTTGTGGAGTGCTGCCTGGAGGTGCAGATCTTCGAGGCGAAGCACCCCCTGGCATGCTACCTGGTGCAGTCCGACCTGGAGGACTGCCTAGTGGTGAAGAGTCCTGGTGAGAAGCTTCCTGAGCGGCTACAAGGTGCAGTGCTCCCTGGAGTGTTACATGGGCGTGGACATACTTCTGGTGAAGTGATACCTAGAAGGCTACCTGATTGCGGAGAGATCTTTTTGGAAAACTGCTACCTGGAATGGTATCTGGAAATGCGGATCGTCCTGGTGAAGTGTTCTCTGAAGGTGCTCGCCTTCGTGGAGTGCTGCCTCGAGGTGCCAATCTTCATCATGGAGGTGCCGATCTTCCTGGCGCAATGCTCCCTGGAATGCTACCTGATGCAGTGCAACCTGCCGTGCAATACAGAGGTAGTGATCTTCCTGGTGAAGTGCTACATAGACCATCGAGGCGGAGAACTTCCTGGTGAATTGTGGCCTGGAAGGTGCGGATCTTCTTGTCGGAGTGCCACCTGGAGATGAAGATCTTCCCGGTGACGTGCTACAGGGAGTGCTTCCCAAAATCATCCAGGCCATCGGCAACATTGTCACGACGGGCTCGGACATCAACGAGCTCGACGAGCTGGAACGCCAATTCCTCGCCTCGCTGAACGCGGCCCACGGCGACGATGCGGTCGCCAAGATCCAGCAGCGTTTCCGCGTGATCCTCCGGGCGATCAGGGAGAAGCTTGCGTCGCCTTGAGCGCCTTGCGAAGCTGTGCCCTAGACCTGGGGCCAACCGGCTGCATCGCCTTTTCGGGCCCTCTTGTCCGCTGCAAGTGCTGCTGGGAGCTGAGGCCTGACGTTCGCCCACGGCCAGAGAGAAACCTCCTCCCCCCCTGCTCCTCCCGCTCCTCCTCCTCCCCGTCGCCGTCCTCGTCCGCGCCTGCCTAGACAGCGCCAGCGCGGCGCCCCCCTCCCCCCGGCCACCCGCCTGCCGCGGCGCCGCGCGAGCGCACGCGCGGTGCAGTGCTGGCTGGTGGCCCCCGGGCTGGGCCAGAGGCAGCGGTGAGGCGTCGCGGGAGCAGCTGGACAGGCAGGGCGATGCTCGAGGAGAGGCCGCGCACGGATGGCGGGGCGACGGGCGGGGGAAGGGGGGGCACAGGGCGGTGCTCGAGGAGAGGCTGCGCGTGGACGGAGGGGCCGAGGAGTGGAGGGGGGGGCGGAGGGTTCGGACGGACGGCTCGGGGTGGTCTGGCTTCGGGGCGCGCTTCCCCCCGCTGGCGGGCCTCGCTTCCTGGCGTCGCCACCTTCCTGGAGGGCACGGCGGCCATCAGCGGGGAGGAGGAGGAGGAGGAGGAGGAGGAGGAGGAGGAGGAGGAGGAGGAGGAGGAGGAGGAGGAGGAGGAGGAGGAGAGGCAGGAAGGGGAGGATGAGGAGGGGGGGGAGGGGGAGGGAAGAGGGAGGCGGGGGGATGAGGGACTGGATGGGACGGGTTGGGGGGCGGGATGGACAGGGAATGGGGCGGGAAACAAGGGCGGATGGAGAAGGGGGATGGGGAGGGAAGAAACGACGTCGACGACAACGACGACGACGACGACGACGACGACGACGACGACCAAGACGACGACCAAGACCAAGACCACGACCACGACCACGACCACGACCACGACCACGACGACAGCGACCACCACCACCACCACCACCACGATCGTGACCAAGACAACGACCACGACCACGACCGCGACGACGACGACGACGACGACGACGACGACGACGACGACGACGACGACGACGACGACGACGACGACGGCCTGCTCTGCGAACAGGCCAGTCACAGGGAGCAGCGGGGCGAGGTGGCGGAGGTCGCTGACGAGGAGCTGGCGGAAGTGCATCTGCTGCCTCGGTAACGGCCAGAGGACGAGGAGGGGGGAAGAGGAGGAGGAGGAGGAGGACGAGGAGGGGGGAGGAGGAGGACGAGGAGGAGGAGGAGGAGGAGGAACAGGACCAGGACAGGAGAAGGAGGAGGAAGAGGGGAGAGGGAGGAGGAGGAGGAGGCGGAGGAGAAGGAGCCACGACGACGAGACGAAAGAGGAGGATGAGGAGGAAAAGAGGATGAGGATGCAAATGAAAGAGGAGGAGGAGGAGGAGGGAGGAGGAGGAGGAGGAGGAGGAGGAGGAGGAGGGAGGAGGAGGAAAAGAGGAGGATGAGGAGGAGGAGGAGGAAAAGGACGGAGGAGGAGAAGGGTTGAGGAGAAGGGAGAGTAGAAGGAGGAAGAGAAGGAGGAGGAGGAGAAGGAGGACTGCCAAGTACGCAATAGGCTTTCAGGGAACCTAAACCCATCTTCAAGGATGAGGCGACCATCAGAGTTCCTAGTTGGGTGACTGCAGTTTACCAAAACCCCCTGTCTGAAGCAGCTTCCCCTGCAGGGAAGTCTCATCCTTAAAGTCCGCCCTGATTGGCCACTGCTGCGAAGGGCACTGGACTTGCGTGAGGAGGGCGTGGGAGCCACACGGTCAGAGGTATGGGGCATACCTTCTGCCTCGGCCACGCTCGCAGGACAGCCCAGATGCTGCCTCATCGGCCACACCTGGGACAGAAATTCGCCGGCCCAACGGGCCAGAGGCGTGCTAAGATCTCCGGTAACTTGTTAACAATATTTCTAGTTCGCGCGCGCGGAGCGGCCCCTGGGGGCCCCCGGACGAAAAGTACCCCGGCAAGGTCCCGAGAGAAGCCCGGGAGAAGCCACCAGACCACTCCAGGGGAGGGTATTTTTCGACACCCCTCACGAGGATCGTGGCCTCCGAGGGGGGAGCCGCAATCGACTACCCCCAAGAGCCCCCCAAGAGGCCCTGGGGGCCTCCAAAACGCCGCCAAGGAGCCCCAAGAGACTCCCAAGAGGTCCCCAAGAGGCCCCCAAGAGGCCATCAAGAGGGCTCCAGGGCCGGCGGCATGAGCGAAGCGATTAAATTAAATTACTCCAGTGCGACCCTACCTAGAAGTTGGAGCCCCTAGGAAAGCAGCATTACTTGCTATGCGATGCCATGTTATGCTATGATATGCAATGCAATGCTGCGCTATGCTATGCTATGTTATGCTATGCTGTGCTATGCTATGCTATGATATGCTATGATATGCTATGGTATGCTATGATATGCTATGCTATGCTATGATATGTTATGCTACGATATGCTGCGCTATGTTATGCTATGCTATGATATGATATGCTATGATATGATATGCTAAGTTATGATATGTCATGATGCGCTGTGCTATGCTGAGCTATGCTATGCTATTATATGCTATGCTGTGCTGTGCTGGGCTATGCTATGATATGTTATGCTGCGCTATGATATGCTACGCTATGCTATGCTATGCTGTGTTCTGCTGTGCTAAAGCTCAGCGAAGCTAAGATGCAGGTAAGCTAAGATACGCTAAACCTGAGCTAAGATGAAGCTCAGCTAAGCTAAGATGAAATAAGCTCAGCTAAGATGATATAAGCACAACGCTAAGCTAAGGGGACGTAACTGGGGGAACCGCGGCCGGATACTGGGGGAACCGCCCGGGCCGGTTCCCACTGCCGGGCCCTTTAAGCCAAGAGAGTAAGAACCCTTCTAGGCAGAGGCTAGGTAGGGAACAAACGTGGTGGGAAGAAAGTGGTGAAGGGAATTGGCAGGGAGGCGGGGACGCTAACAAAGTTACGGTCCCCAGGCAGCGGTGCGGTTGGCAAGGCCCTGGGTTCGCGTCTGCCGCGGCGGCGGCGTCGCTCGGCCGTGTGAATGCCGTCTGCACTTGATGGCCGAAAATGGCCGAAAAGAAGATGTCCCGGCAAGCCGCGGGGAAAATTCCGTACAAAAGGGCGCTTGTGTACGGAATTTCCCCCCTTCCCTTGTTTCGGGCTCAGGGGCTCAAGGGAGCTGTCATCGCTGCCGTCCTCAATCAGGCATAGCAGCAAAGAAACCAGCCCTAGCAAACATGACCCAAATCAAGCCAACATACGTACCAGATAACCCCAGCCCGCTTCACTCCAGGACGGTGCACGCTCCTCCCCCACTGCGTCCACAGGCCCCTGGCTGGGCGCGTCACGCGGCATCATGCTGCAAGGCCTCGCTCTCGGCCCTCAGCTCGTCCGCCCGCCTCAGCGCCCCGTTCTCGGCCTTCAGCTCCTCCAGCTCGGCCTTCAGCTGGTCGGCCTCCGAGGTGGCGCCGGCAGGAGGGCTGGCTTCCCGGGTGGCCCCCGCGACGGTGTCCTCCCGGGCCGCGCCGTGGGGCGCCTGCTGGGGCGCATCCTCCTGCTCCTCGGCCGGGCTCGTCTCGACACCGTCCTCGCCGACGTAGGGCAGCGGCTCCTCCTCGCCAGCAGCCTGCTTCGCCTCCACACCTGGCACGGGCAGGCTCCCCTCCACGGCGGCACCCGTGGCGCCCTCTGCAGCCACGTGCTCCTCGGGCGCCGGGGGCTCCACATCGGATGCGTTCTCCGCAGCGCCCTGCGCGGATCGGTCCGCGGTCGAGCCCTCCACGATCCGGCCCACGAGCCCGTCGCCATCCCTCCTGGCGCTGACGGTCGAACCCTCCCGAATGGGCCCAATCACCACTGAGTTGTTCGAGTCGTCCGGCCCAGACACCACGTAGGTGTCCACGTCGATCTCCTCGGGGGAGGCCTTCTGGGGTGCCGGGGGCTCCATATCGGATGCGTTCTCCGCAGCGACCTCCGCGGCGCTCTCGAAAGTCAAGGCCTCATCGGATTCGTTCTCCGCGGCGGCATTGTCATACAGCACGGCCTCCGTTGTCGAGGCCTTCGCGGCGTAGGTGGACGCGGGGACCATGCCGTCCCAATAGCCGTCGAAATAGGTCTTCAGCTCATTCATAGTCATATCTTCCACTGGCTTCTTCATGTAGCCGCGTGCGTCAACCACCTTCTTCGAATGCAGCGCAGGGCATGGTCTGGTGCAGCCCGCCTTCATGCTGTGATTCAGATGCTCCTGCACCTTCCTGAAGGTAGAGGCCAACTCATCAGGCGCCGCCTTGATTCGCCGAATCTCAGCCATCACCGCGTCGAAGCAAGCCGAGCCCTCCTTCGCGTCAGTGCAAGAGGGCGCCGTCGTCGATGGCACGCGCCCCAGCGGCGGCGTCGTCGCCATGTCCGGCCTCCACTCTGGGCAGGGCTCAGGACAACCGACCTTGCCCTGCCTGTGGAGCTCGGCCTGGACCTCCCTGTCGGTGGACTCGTGGCTGAGGCCGGGGTACCAATCTGGGTGCTCCCCGAAACCAGAATTCCTCAGCCACTGGATGGAGATGGAGCACCAGTCACCCGCGGTCGTGCTGCCACAGCTCTGGGGCGGAGCAGACGCGACCTCCTCGCTGTGCATCTCCCGGCCACTGGGCTCGACCTCGAGCACGTCTTTGCTGGTCTGCGTCGCCGAGTAGGCCCCTGGCGCATGCTCACAGGGCTTCTTGCACTCGGCCTTCCCGAGGGAGTGCAGGACCCACTGGACGTCCTCGAAGCGGCTATCGCTGGACAGGCCAGGGTACCAGTCCGGGTGGCTCGCGAACCCGGACTCGCGCAGCCACGTGACCGAGTGGTGGCACAGGCTGCCCTCCGCAGCGTCTTCGCAGTCGGCGCCCAGCGCGCCCGCGGCGCGGCCCGCAGCCTGCGCGGGCACGTCCCTGGCCCTCCTCATGGGGAAACCAAGAGATCCCGCTACCGCTGCTCCCCGGACCTCTCCCGGGGTGCGTTCTGACCAGGATTTCCAGGCGAATCCGGCGGTGGCGGCGAGGGCCTCCGAGAAAGCCCCCAAGAGGGGAAGACACGAGGAACAGGGCAGAGGTGTGGGTGCTCTTTTTCCTCCTCGGATCCTCGGCGCCCAGGTGCTCTCCATCACCTCCTCGAGCTCGCCGCCGCCGAAGCCGTGGGGCTGCGAGCTGCCGGCCTGGGCGGCCTCCGCCTGCAGGAGCCCCAGCGCGGGCGGGCGGCGCTCGGCGTGCCCCGGGGGGCAGGGCGGAGGGCACTGGGCCGCGCCGAGCTGGTGGAGCAGCGACTGGAAGTCCTGGGGAGGTCGGCGCTGCGGGTGCCCTCGAGGCTCGATCCTCGAGGCTCGGTCCTCGCTCTTCGATCCACCTCCTCCTCCTCCTCCTCCCCTCCTCCTCCTCCTCCTCCTTCTCCTCTTCCTCCTCATCCTCCTTCTCCTCCTCATCCTCCTTTCTCCCTCCTCCTCCTCCTCCTCCTCCTCCTCCTCCTCCTCCTCCTCCTGGAAGTCCTGGGCGGTGTACTGGCCCGCGTCCCCGGGGAACCAGTCCGGGTGCTGCCTGGCGCCGGTCTCCCTGGCCCACGCGAGCGCGCTGTCAGGGGAAGGAACAGTGACATAGACATGAAAACTCGGAGGTCCGCGCAAACTTCTCGGATCGGCGCTGGAGCCCCCTGGCGGCACCTCCAGCGCCGCCCATGGCGCGCTCCGCGCGCCAGGGAGGGGGGTTCAGCGCCGATCCGAGCCATCCGCGAGGACGTCCCAGTCTTTATGTTGATGTCACTGTTCGTTTCCCTGGCTGTGGCACCACTCGCCCGGGATCGCGTCGCGGCAGCCGGCGGCAGGAGGCCGAGAGGTCGCGCCGGCGTGGAGCGCCAGGGCATCACGGGGGAGCAGGAGCAAGGTCACGAGCGGCAGCATGGCGGCCACGCTCTGGCAGAGTTACGGAGAGGCGGGCGTCCAGCTGGAGCCAAGCCTGAGCCCAAATGACTTGCGGAAGGTCCTCCTCCTCCTCCTCCTCCTCCTCCTCCTCCTCCTCCTCCTCCGCCTCCTCCTCCTCCTCCTCCTCCTGGAGGGGGAGGCCAGTGTAAACCCAAGACTCCTCCACGATGTCGGAGTAGACCCTCCCTCCAAGCTCCCTCTTCGTTAGGCCCCTGCACGGATGCATTACACTGGGGGAAGTGCCCCGCTGGGGAGAGACAGCCGTGTAAAGATCCTGAAGCGTATCAAAACACCATCCTCGGGACTCCAATGCCACACATCAACCTGACTGTTGCGTCTTGACGATCCTGAACTGTGCCAGAACACCATTTCTGGGACTTCAACGCCGCGAACCCATGTAACTGTTGCACCTTGACAATCCAGAGTCGTTCTCAAACACCATTTCTGGCAAGCTAGACACGCGAACCTGTGAACCTCCTGTAAGTTCTACAACGAATGCACGCGGCGCGAAGGCGAAAGCCATACCTCGAAAAGGAGCCGCCCTCAACCCGTGCGGCGCGAAGGCGAGAACCACGTGTTGAAGACGGCCCGCCATCAGTGCGCGAAACTCTTGCAAATGCTAAAGACGACTCCGCGCGGCACTGATGCGAGAGCCACATTTTCAAAGCGGTCGCCCTCCATCCGTGAAGCCTTTGCAAATGTTTGAGCTTCAGGATCATAGATGGTAAGAACATGGTAAAGACGTCTCAGGCAAATGCCCGGCCCGCCTTTTCGACGGGCCTCGGGGTGCGACAGGGAGGAGTTACTTATAAGAAAAAGGAACCTGAGACTCTGTCTGAGTCGGGGGCATGCGAACATGGATTCGCGATCCATGGATTGAGCGCGCGGCCGCCACATCCATGGATCGGGGGAGGCGCCCTCCCCAAAATGCGGCCGCTGCCGCCTCGCTCGGCGGCGGACACCCGCGATTTCCCATGGAAACGGGACCCGCCCTGAGACCCGATGTAGCCCGTAGTAGCGAAAACATTGCAACATCGTGAAAGTCCGCGCCCGGAGCCCCAGACCCCATCTTCCTGCGTCATTTTTCCAGCCGGATCGACCTGCGAGGGTCCCGGGACCCGAAAAGAGGCGAAAACGCCCGGCTCGAGAAAATCGAGTCTCCTGGATCTCAGGGCGTCGCTAATCCACGCTCCCTTGATCCAGGTTTATGTCGGGCCTGTCCCTCTACACGGGGAATATGCAAACATAATCTAACAAAAATAGGCTGGGGACGCTGTGTTGTACCATTTTTGCTCATTTGGGGGGCAGTTGTTGAGTATTTTATATCTGTCGCCCAAAATCCCCCTGTACGGGGAACAGCGCCCGGACTTCGGGCTGGCCCGAGCACGCAGGCGGGCCCCAGGTTGGAGGCCGAAGCCCTGGCGCCCTTCAGCATCGAGGCGGGGAACCGGATCGGATCGGAACGTGCCTCGAGTCGGGCCGCATCGGCCCGGCGTCGGAATCGGATCGACGGCGCCAGGGTGCAGAAGCGCGCCACCATCGGCCGCATCGGGTCGCCCGAACGTGGGCATCGCGTCGAACATCGGGCCCGCCTGGGCCGATGTCGAATCGGATCGATCGGAAACAAAAAGACCCTGCCTCGTGGATGAGGGTGCCGAGGCCTGGAGAGCCCTCTACTCTGGGACCAACGTCGGCGGCGCGCACAATGGGGCAGGGGAAGGGGGGGAGGCTTCTGAGAAGGAGGCTGCTTCTCAAAAGGCGCCGGCCCTTACATCTACAGACAAGGCTCGCGCCTTCTAAGATGCAGGGGTGCTTCTAAGAAGCCTTCCTCCCTCTCACCCCCTGCCCCCCCTCCTCCAGAGCACCCCCCACCCACGTTGCCCAGAGGGCCCCAAGAGCCCCCCCCTGCACGGTTTTCCCCAGGGCCGTAGGCGACCCGAGGAGGAGGAGGAGGAGGAGGAGGAGGAGGAGGAGGAGGAGGAGGAGGAGGAGGAGGAGGAGGGATGAGGAGGAGGAGGAGGAGGAGGAGGAAGGAGGGAGGAGAGGGAGGGAGGGAGGAGGGAGGAGGGCGGTCGGGCCGCTCGCTGCACTTCAGTGCACCAGCTCGGTGCGTCCCCCCCTCCATCGCCCGGCTTCTGGGCGCCCCCCCCCACGTCGCCGCTCTCTCGTCGGCGCCGCAGCCACGCTGCGGCTGCCCGCGCTGGGCGCTGCTCGCCGCACCGGCTGGCCCGCCACTTTTGCAAGTCCTCGGAACGCCCTGGACATGGACTACGGCTGACCACCCGCCTCCTCCCCCCAGCCCGTAACCTCTGGATCGGCTGCCCCTGCTACCTACGCCTGGCTCGCTGACGCGGCCCTAGCAGGCCGGGCACCCGTGCCCGTGAGTCCTCGCGTTACGGTGGGTTGTTGCGTGTCTGCTCCCAGCCGGCTCGCCTGCTGGCTCGCCGGCCGCCCTGGGCCGGGCACTGGGCTGGTCTTGCCGCCCTGCCCCGCCTCCCCTCCGCCACGGGCGCTGCCCGTCGCACCACCCTCCCTGGGGGGTGCTCTCCTTGCCTGCGGTTGCCGTGGACCCCCCACCCACTTCTTGCCGGGCTGGGGCGCCCTCGGCCCCCTCCTGAGGCCGTCGCGCTTCCGCCCCGGTCGCAGTCTCAGGGCGTCGGCTTCTAGGGCGCCTCTGCGCGCCTCTCCAGCAAGCGTGCCGCTCCGTGTGCGCACTGCCCCATCTCCCTTCAGGTCCTTCGCCCTGCCGTCAGTTCTGCGCCCCCCGCCCGCTCTCGCTGCCGGCCCCCGTGGCCCGGCGCTATCTCTGCTCGCATGCGAGCACCGTGGCCTTCGCGGTTCGCCGCCGCCGCGCCTCTCGGCCCCGCCCGGCCCGGGCTGCCCTCCGATCGGAGGTGCCTGCTCTAGCCGCCACCGACCGCCACGTTGGTAACGTGTGATCTCGGCTCCCTTGGTGCGTTGGCTCTTCTGCAGTTTTTGTAGCCTCGGGCTGCCTCGTCCCCGCGGCCTCCACCTTAGTTAAGGCCGCCCACCCCGCCCCCTTCCCGCCTGTGTCCTGCGCGCCCCCTCGCTTGCCTGGTTTTCAAACCGACCCCTTCCCTGAGGTGGTCCCACACTGGTCGCCGCCGGCCTGGGTGCCCTCGTGGCTTGCGTCACTTCGGCATTATGTGGCCCATGACGCTTTGAGCACACCTTCACTCCAGCCTTTGCTGGGCACTGCCTGGCAGTCTGCCATGCCCGCCTCCCCCCCCCCAGCCGCCGCCCCGTTGCTGCTGGACCCCGCCCCCGGCGCCACCCCGCCGCCGCCTGGCCCCGCTCTGAGCAGGCCCGGCTTCCGTCTCTCTCCTGCCACCGCTGGGCGTTCCCCCTTCTGTTCCGCGCGTTGCGTCTTAATTCGCATTCGTATGCCCTACCAATGCTCTTCCGACAGCGCAGTCACTCTGCCGAGCTACCAACGCCAAAAAGTGTGTGTGTGTGTGTGAATGTGTGCGAATGTGTTTGTATGTGTTTGTATGTGTGTATGTGTGTATGTGTGTATGTGTGTATGTGTGTATGTGCGTGTGCGTGTGCGTGTGCGTGTGCGTGTGCGTCTGCGTGTGCGTCTGCGTCTGCGTCTGCGTCTGCGTCTGTGTGCGTTTGTGCGTGTGCGTGTGTACGCGTGAGTGCGTGCGTGCCTGTGTGTTTGTGTGCCTATATATATATATATAGATATGTGTGTGTGCGTGTCTGTGTGTCTGTGTCTGTGTCTGTGTCTGTGTCTGTGTCTGTGTCTGTGTCTGTGTCTGTGCGTGCGTGCGTGTGCTTGCGTGCGTGCGTGCGTGAGTGCGTGCGTGCGTGGAAATGTGTGTCTGTCCGTCTGTCTGTGTGTCTGTCTGTCTGTCTGTCTGTCTGTCTGTCTGTCTGTCTGTCTGTCTGTCTGTCAGTCTGTCTGTCTGTCTGTCTGTCTGTCTGTCTGTCTGTCTGTCTGTCTGTCTGTCTGTCTGTCTGTCTGTCTGTTTTTCCGTCTGTCTGTCTGTCTGTCTGTCTGTCTGACTGTCTGTCAGTGTGTCAGCCTGTGTGCGTGCGTGCGTGCGTGCGTGAGAGAGAGAGAGAGAGAGAGAGAGAGACAGAAAAGGAGACTGTGTGTGTGCGCGTTGGGGTCGCTACGCCACCCATTCTCTGCTCGTTCTTGTACCTCGCTGCCGCGCAGACGC